TGTCTGAGCGGAGGTATTGGGACCAGCGAGTTTAAGTTTCTGAAATCTGTTGCCTCTAATCGTCAGGGGTCTGTGAATGATGTAGAGGAAAACTCAAATTTTGTAAATGGGTTTTGATTCAGTTAAGAATCTGTTGGTTTTTCAGAGCATTTGGAATGAAAATATTTTCTAAATATACTGTTTCCATTAGCTTTTTGGTTCATATAGACTCTCTTGGGGTTTTGTTTAGTTGTTGATTTCACTTTCCTCCTTAAGGTAATTAGACATTTTCTTTGATCATATACAAGGGGAAAGTACAAGCTTTTGTTAGAATATATAATTTTGAGAATAATTGAGGATATTTCCAAATTGTAGTCTTTGGAGTGTATAACAGAAATGAGAAATTCTACATAAGAAAGTTTTTGAATATTATTTGTGTCATAATAGCTTTAGTGTAAAATAACACTGACAGTGTAAAATGTGTTCTAGAAGAGTTGTATACCTTATTTGTAGGGTCATTATAGCTTGTTATTATGCACTTTGTTTTTTATAACATATTCCTTTGCTTAGGGGATCCAGGGGATTTTGCCATTTAACGAAAAAACATTTCAGATCACTCTGAATTATCTCAAATTACTACTCAAAAGAGCATAGAAAAAAGCCATACTGACTTGTTTAGCTCATATAATGAAGAAGGATGTCAGCAAAACAGGGGGCTTCTACATTGGGAGGAGAATCCATCTATCAGAATTTTTTAAATTGTGATTTATTCATTAATCTATTCAACAAATATTTGTTAAGCATCTACAGTGCGACAGGAACTCTTCTAGATGTCGATGGCTGTAGAAATAAACAAAACAAAGTTCTCAAACTCAAGAGCTACACAGAGAAGAAATAATTAAATAGGTACATGTATGTTATATAAGATGGTGATCAATGCTAGGGATAAAAAGTAAAACACATCAAGCCAACAGAGTCTTGAGCTATCTTTGAAACTTATTAAGCTGCCCTGCACCAGAAGATGTATTCATTACTCTCATTGCTAGAAATGTGTAACACTGAACTGCACTAGGATTAATTTGTTTACAAGAAGAAATTAAAACTCCACATTTCGGGTTCACATACCGCAGCTCTATTGAATAATATGCATCTGAATTTTAAGTTGCAAAGGTATCTGAATAATTTTTCATGTGCATATTTTGTTGAATGTTTCGGTTCATGAAAAATATTTAAAGTTTTTTTAAAGATTTCAGTTATTAATGTAACTGTACCCTTCTGCATGGAAAATCATAACCAACATGGCTGCACTAGACTTTCTCAGTGGTATCCAACACCACTTGTAGAGGGCTGCTTTATCATATTAACTGTACTTGGGTGTAGGACTCTAGTGTTTTTCGGTGTACTTCATGGCCTGCATTATCTACAGCACTGTACTTAGATAAAAACTAAAAGAGGCAGTATACTTCACTGATGCTTGTCTGGTAATATCACTTCTGTGCTATTTTTTGTGATGTATGAAACTCGTGTTTTTTACATATAAATGAGTATGGTTAGATTAGTATCATGGTGATGTCTGTTTTCATCTGTAAATAGTTAAGCATATACAGGAGGCACTAATTCTGATTTATTGCAGTGTTTGGTCTTAATTTTTACTTTTACTCTTAAAACATTCAGTTTTGCTTTCAATTTTACATACCTTAATTCTGAGTTAGATCTGCAGATGTGTACAGATAGTTCATATTTATGTATTGCACATAATCATTCTATTCAGCATTGATGCTATATTGTATTATGTAACTAATAAAAGCCATGTACAGAGTGGGAAAATAGCAGGGCAAGAGATATGAGAAGTGCCCTCATATGCATTTTCCCATAGTTTGAAAGTTTCATAAAATCATAACTCCCTGACCTTATGTAGAATGGGTATTATAAACTGGAATTAACTGGTAGCTTTTTCCTTGATGTGATTCAATCAACGGAAACCACATTTCTGGCATATACAGTGTCTCGAATTTGGAAGGAAATTTAGAGGAATTCATCCTTTTTGCTGAGAGAATTTTAAGAAATTACAGAAGTATATATTGTTATTTTTACAACATGAAATGATGATCGCTATTAAGTCTTCTTTCACTTCTCAATTCTCCTCAGAGCATCCCACCCAGACTATAGGTTCTCAAAGTTAGGGACAATGCCTGGATTGCTTGCTGGTGTATTTCAGAACATATTAAACAGATATGAATCATATTTCTTTGAATGAAGGAACAAATAATTATAATTGCATGGTTTTCTGACTATATCATCTTCCCCACACCATTTCCAAACTTCGAATAGCCCTCTAGATTATCATATATGTACAACTGTAGCCGTTCTTTTCGAAGACAACGCATGGTGGCGCTGCAGGCTAAGGCGTCCAAAAAAAAAAAAAAAAAAAAGACCCAGGAAATGCTACGAACTCAACTTCACTTCTCCAGCGGAAGAGAAAAGCCTTAAGCAAAGCTCAGGACCAGTAACTCTGCAGAGAATGCTACTCACCGACATTTCTGGACAGGTTGCCAACTTGGAGATCCATCATTGTCTCAGTCCCATCGCTCCCTAAGGTAGAGCTGGGCCCTGTTCCTGGAAAGGCGTTTGTGGGAGTTAACATGGAGGCTGGAGGGGAGCGCTTTCCTAAACAAAGGCAAGTCCTGATTCTCTTTATCTTGCTGGGAGTGACTTTTGCAGGCTGGGAATCCCGCCGCTATTCCGTGATGGAGGAAACAATGAGCGGAACGTTTGTGGCCAACCTGGCCAAGGACCTGGGGCTGGGAGTGGGGGAGCTAGCTGCGCGGGAAGCCCGGGTGGTCTCTGAGGATAACGAACCCCGGGTGCAGCTTGATCTGCAGACTGGGGAGTTGATATTAAATGAGAAACTGGACCGGGAGGAGATGTGCGGCCCCACAGATCCATGTGTAATGCGTTTCCAAGTGTTACTGAAAAAACCATTGGGAGTATTTCGAGCTGAGCTAGTGGTGAGAGACATAAATGATCATTCTCCTGAGTTCCCTGAAAGAGAAATGACGCTGAAAATCCTAGAGACCAGCCCTCCTGGGACCGTGTTTCCTCTGAAAACAGCTCAGGATTTGGACGTGGGCAACAACAACATCCAAAACTATAATATTAGTCCCAACTCTCATTTCCACGTTTCCACCCGCAGCTGGGGGGACGGCAGGAAATACCCAGAACTGGTGCTGGACAAAGAGTTGGATCGCGAGGAGCAGGCCGAGCTCAGATTAACCCTCACAGCGCTGGATGGCGGCTCTCCGCCCAGGTCTGGTACCGCCCAGGTCTGCATCTTGGTCTTGGACGTCAATGACAATGCCCCTGAGTTTGCACAGACGCACTACCAGGTGCAGGTCCCAGAAAACAGCCCTGTAGGCGCCCTAGTTGTCAAGGTCTCAGCTAGAGATTTAGACACAGGGACAAATGGAGAGATATCGTATTCCCTTTTTTATAGTTCTCAAGAGATAAGTACAACTTTTGAGCTAAGCAGCATTTCGGGAGAAGTTCGACTAATTAAAAAACTAGATTTTGAAACAATATCCTCATATGAACTGTATATAGATGCATCTGATGGTGGGGGACTATCTGGAAAGTGTTCTGTCTCCATTGAGGTACTAGATGTTAACGACAACTCCCCAGAATTAATTATTTCATCACTTACCAGCCCCATTCCTGAAAATTCCCCTGAGACAGAAGTTGCCCTGTTTAGGATTCGAGACCGAGACTCAGGGGACAATGGAAGGATGACTTGTTCCATCCAGGATGAGCTCCCCTTCCTCGTGAAACCATCTGCAGAGAATTTCTATACCCTGGTAACAAATGGGGAGCTGGACAGAGAGATCAAAGCCGAATATAATATCACCATCACCGTCACAGATCTGGGGACACCAAGGCTGAAGACTGAGCACAACATAACAGTGCTGGTGTCTGAC